AATAGTATGAGGACATTCCTACAACTCTCTGCTGTCTTCATATTCGAGGGAGGGGGTAGTTTGAGGAGGGCATCGAAGCGTTCAGGATCCGGCTTGACACATCCTTTGGATATTTCGTAACCCAGTAATCGATCTACTTCAGAGGTGAATACACACGTGTTGTGATTTAGAGTTAAACCATGTTTGGGCAGCCAACTGCGAGAACCTCGTCAGATTGATGTTGTGATTTCTTTCCCACAGACCGTAATGTTGCCTACATATACAAAGGTTCCTTTGAGCCCTTCACGTCGAACAAGCTCATCTATGGTTCGCTGAACATAGGTGACGCCGTTAGTTACTCCAAACGGTATGCGGCGAAATTGGTAAAGGTTATTGCATGCCGCGAAAGCTGTATAATGTCGTTCATTTTCCTTTATAGGTATTTGGTGGTACGCACTTTTCAAGTCTAGGGTGCTGCAAATGCTGTATTCGGCAATTTTACCAACCAAGTCATCAAAGCGGGGTAGGAAATAAGCATCCAAAAGAGTAAATCGGTTGATTGTCTGACTGTAATCGACTACCATCCGTCGTTTCTGGCGTTCGTTGGTTGTAACCAGGATCTGGGACTGTCATGGTGAGCGAGAAGGTTCGAATATTCCATCCTTCAATAGCCTAGCGACCTCTGAACGAATAAAATTCTCATCGTAGTAGCTATGTCTTCTCGATTTTGTGCAAATAGAACGGCAAGAGGGGTCCAGATGTGCAAAAAAGGGGGGGGGGACTGGAAGACTAGGAACTGACAGACCACAGAGAGACAACGGTGGCTGAATTCCTTGGAAGGGTATTTCTACTGACTTGTGTCGTTGTAAAAAGTCGTGTCCAAGTAGTACGTCAGCACTTAAATCGGGGAGAACGGACAGTTTGACATTTCCATATCGAGTACCTTTATGTATTAGGGAGACAAAACAATGACCCCTGGTACAGCTTGTCATACGGGTGGAAACCAGGACAATCTTACTATTGGATGTCAATGTCGACCATTTCTTCCGGAGAACGATCTCAGATACGTAACTTTCTGAGCTTCCTGTGTTTACCAGAGCTTTCAGTGCTAATCTGTTGACTGTTACAGCAGTAAGAGCCTTAGTAGGGCTCACAGCGGCTGCGGCTGCACTGATGGAGGAGACAAGGAATGGTAAGGTAGCTGCGGTATGGTTTGAGTTGGCAGGAGCCCGACAAACTTTCTGGAAGTGTCCCCGTTTGCCACATGACTTGCAAGTTGCATCTTTCGCAGGGCTCTTGTGACGAGGATGTCGATCATAGCCCAACAATAAGCAGCGTGTTCGGGTTGTAGCCAGCATCATCTCAGGTGTCTGATCCAGGGCACTTGCAGAGGCAGCGTAGAATGAAGGAGTGACTTGGGCGAACGTTTAAGATTGCTGTTGAGCTAAATCGAGCGCTTTGGCTTGTTTCATCTTCAAGGAGCCGCTGGCGGATGGGGTTTGATAATAGTCCGCTGATAAACGCGTCACGTATGGCGTCCTCCTCGTTTTGTTTTGCTCTGACTGCTTTAAAATATCAGTTTCGAGCAAGGTTTCTGAGTTTCTGCATGAATTGATCTAGAGTTTCTATAGTACTCTGCTTCGAGGTCACCAGAAGATGACGCGCGAAAATCTCGTTCTTCGTTTGCATGTATAGGGATTGAAGCGTCGTAATGGCAGAGTCATAATCAATGCATCGTGAAACGAATTTGTAGGCGACAAAATGTGCATGCGGGTCTTGAATTTGTCTGGTTTGTGCTCTTCCACAAGTCCTAGGAAATTGATGAATGTGTAATACCAGAGTTCCCAGGAATCGGAACCATTTGGAGAATTTGGATCAGTGTTGAAGTGATCCGGGCGTTAATGTCGGTCCATTGTAGTTGGTTGATTAAATTGTAATGGAGTTGATTATTTGATTGATGGGGACTGGTAGTGTATCAGATCACACGTTTAGTCGGCAGACAAGCCAAAGGACAACGCCTTAGTGATAGGCTTTAGTCGACCAAAAACGAGGCATGAGAGCTAAAACGGGACAAGCGAAATGTTAGAATATGCGCCCAGAGTAACAGCAATCTATGCAATGGAAAGGACAATAATAGATCTACAACAGCTTCCCGGTCACATCTTCATAAATCTCTCATCG